TTAGCTGCTACTAGCATAACACACCAGAATCTGAAACAGAACTGTTGGCAGGTAAGTTGCAATGTGGGTAATGAGAAGGAATGTAACCTGACTGCGCCAGATGGTGAACAGTGTCTTCTCGCTGCGTCACACCCAGCGCCCACCTATGTATCTGCCAGTACTTCTTCAAAGGATGCTGATTGGTCCGCTACCACTGTACTGACCACAAACGCGTAGATTGAAGCCTGGAAAGATGGATTCTTGAGGATGTGTTTCTTGTTCTACTCCATAAATTTTGATCCTTTTTCAAAAAAAAAAAAAACTCAACAGGGGGCCCTAACAGAAAATCTCTGGCCTGGGGCCCCCAAACAAATGAATCTAGCCATGTAGGAGAGGAAGGGTGAAAATAACCACAAAGGTAATAAAAGTGAGGGGTAGAGTGGAAAATAGGTTGAGAAAGCTATTTCATGTGTCAGGTAGTCAAAACAAAAAAGTTGTCACAATTCATTTAAAACCCCAAAAGAGGCCTGTGAGTTTCTGGCTGGCTAACAATGCGAAGCAACTCCTCCAGGGAACGAGTGCCGCAGAGGTGGCACACTGCTGTGTGAGATGACAAACGTTCGTGACAGCTCAGAGGACTGGAAGCAAAGATGTGGGCGTGTATCTGCTGTGTATATAACCACCCGCCTGCTTCCTCAGCCAGTTTACCACTCACGAGGCATGCGGTGGACGACCGGGGCTTATTCCAACATAAATAAAGTCTCTGATCCTTCTTGGGATGACGAATTTTATAAAGATGGGATTCTTTGCGGCCGGGAAAGGGGTTACAATGGTAAACCAAATGGCCGCAAGTAGATGTATGGGACTGATTAGGACCCTGGAAATGAGATTAAAGAGAGATCTACCAACAGATTGAATTGTATTTGCCATAATTGCTGAGAACAGCTTATTCAGTGCAGACCGCAAAAAAGGGAATCATAAAATTGAGGAAGAAGGAGGAGTAGAGAGGAGGAACGGCTGCCACTTGAAACCAGCAAGCTTTTCTCAAAGGAATCAAACCCAGGACAAGTCTTGTATCAATTAGAGGGTGTGTGCATGTTGTGTGTTTGTGTGTGTGAACAGAGGATGGGATAAGGGATGAATTAGCTCTTACTCATAAACTTTGAGGTCAGCTCAAAGCTTGTATTAATGATTTTTTTGCAGTATTAGTAATCTTATTTTCAAAAGCAAAAGGCCAATTTAACCACATTGTACTTTTTAAATGGAAAATTCCCCTGTGCTCAGTGACTGTGCATGCCATGAATTTATCTGAAATGAGATAACTGAAATAGCCATGACCTCTGTTCTCAGCATCCCGTTGAAAAGAGCTTTAATGAAAAATAAATCTTGTGAAGAGAAAAAGACCAACAGACAAATCAATAGAAGCACGGGCTCAGAGATAAAAGTGAGCTCTGTGTGCCAAAGAGCTACTCGCTCTCATTCCTGGGTTGATTGTACTTAAAGTGAAACCACATGAACTGAGCTGTTCCCACAAAGGAAGTAAGAGTGTGTGGAGTAAAAGAAAAAAAAAAAGCACACATACTGTATACTCTACAACTTACAGCCCCTAAAAACTATGTATTTCTATGTAACATTAAATATTCGTGACTAAATGAACAACAATCAACATAAAAGTTCAGGAAAACATACTTCTAATCTGCTTTATCCAATTGTTCGGGGGTCACTTGATCAGATTTAATTGACTTCGACCAATTTAAATATTGTGAAATCCTGATTAGTGTTTAGAAGTTTGTGTTGTCCCCAGACTGTACAATCAAAAATAGAGTTGTTGTGACGCTCAGTGTGGTCAGCTCTGGCTCTTGCTATCTTGGCTGTCCGGGCTCTGCCAGCTCCCACTTATAACTAAACACAAAGTACAGCTGAGAGCTGTTGGGAATATCATCATTAGTTCTGCAGGTATTTGCTCATGAATCAAAATATTGAACAAACAGGAAGTTGGACCAGATGGTGGCACTAAATGAAAAGTCAGTGGATCTCCAGTCATTAAAACACAGGACATCATCTGGAGACCACGAATGTCCGTACAAATAGATATTGTATGTATCGAGATATTTTACAGCACTGGAACTTTGACCTGCTGAGGAAACGTCAGTAGGAATCGTTCACTGGTGGAAAATAAAGTTTTACCGTGAGTGTCTGTAAAACATTAAATGGTAAACCATCCAATAGTTGTTCAGTCTGGACCACACACACCGCTAGTGTGGCTAAAAACTGCAGAAGGTTCTTAGTAACGAGAAAATACAAACCAACAAAGATGTAGTTTTCTATGTTAGGCACTTTTATTGATTTTGTATTATTGATTCACAAACACAAATATTATTGCTGAAGAAAACAACCAGTTTAAACAGATTGCAATACAGTACATTTATTTAGAGATTTAAGTGGATTGAATTATAGTCTATGTTAACGGTAAAGTGAGGGAAGAAAGAAATATTCAAAGAAAATAGTGTTAATCCCTAACATGTGCATAACAAAGAGGTATTGTTTTCTAAACCATTAAAACAGAGTTTTTTGGCCACAATATAAAAACGGAGAGCAAGAACTTGGTACGGTGTGTTAACTGAAAGGTAAAGACAGGAGTGCTTTGAATAACTAATCGTTATGGGGGGGGGTGTCTATCCACATAAATAAAGGAATCTGTTCTACTCTTATCAAATGGCATCCTATGGTAAATGTTACCCTGAACGTGTTTTGTGCCGTTCTACTTCCAGACCTGCTGAATATCAGAATTATCACACTGTAGTACAGTTATTAAAGTAGTACAAAGCTATGAAAAATATATCAGTGTAAAGGCATAAGAGACTTGCTCAACAATCACAGCACTACAGTACACTACACCATCAAGAGTCACAAAGAGCTGGCTCAGGGGTACGCAACCCTTGTTCTAGGAGAGCTGCAAAGATCACTGCTGCATGAATCAGGTTATTTTTTTTATTAATTCAAGATTCAGCTGGGACATTTGCTATCAGTAAAAGTGGTTTGGTTTAACTGTAGCAATGCAAAGCAACAAATATTAGTAGATAAAGCAAAGTCAATTTACTTTTACATTCACATTTAATACTCTCTCAGCAATCTGTTAGATATATAATAAATTTCCCTGGTGTTGGATACAAGCATGCAGATATTACAGCCTCCAAAAACAACTACTGCCTACCCCTGGGCCACACTGATCATTACAATTTCTATCAACTTGGCCTGCCAAGTCTCACCACTAGAGGACACTCTGGTTTCAACAAAAAGGACGACGTGCCACTGCAAACTGTAGGACACAGCAAGAGATCTCCACTTCACACTCCCATGACTCAAATCCAGCATAAACCATATCCAGACGTATGTAACCACATTGTGTGAGTGACATGACTGTCAAATCTGCACATCAAATACACCAAAGTGGCACCACAGTAGTTTTAGATTTGGATGATTTTGCCCTCTTCAGGTCTTTTGATTGTTCTGAAAATACTATTTTGGACCTCCAGAAGATGATAACTGACACAAAATGAGTACAGTCTCAAGAAAGTAGCTTTAGTGTTACAACTGACATGGACAAGGTTAAAGGATGGGTTCAAGTCTGGGTTAAAACAATACTCAGATGTACATTAAGAGAGTTATAGGATGCTGTAATCATTCCTTCTGTCCATACAGGACATGAAGGGATCCCCTAGTAATGCTATTTCAATGGAAGAGATGGGGGGGGGCTTCAGCAGCCAGAGTTGGTCAAATCATTTGCATAACTTCCACAGTTACAGAGAGTTTAGTGCAGAATTTACTCTTTTTGTTAGTTCTGTCCCTGCGGCTCAGCAAGGAGACACTATCTGGGGAAATCCTTGAAAGCAACCCACTTGATGTGACTAATTCATACTGCTGAAGCCTCACATTAGCCAAGCACACTCCATCTCTTCCATTGAAATCATTAGAAAGGGACCTCTTCACTGCCAGTATGGACAGGATGAATCGTAACAGCGACCTTCAATGCACATATGGGCATCTGAGTATTGTGCTCAAGGATAGGTGATGTTTATTGAAGTCTGTTACAACGCCGATATGTACAGTGAAACAGGTTTTGCTTGCTGTAATCATTCTAGGATTCTTCTTTTTTGGTTATTCTCACTGCAGCTCAACAAGGAAGAAGATGCGAAATGGAAATTTAACACTAAAAAGACAAACTGGAAGAAATCCACTTGATTTTACCAACTTGTGTTAACTTCAGATAACCTTTTGAATACATTTTTTGTAAGGGATTGAGAGCTTTATCCCCCCTTGCTTACACTGGAAGTGCATGAGGAAGGGATCTTTTAGTGGCCAGTATGAACAGTAGGACTGATTACAGCAAGCAAAAACTATTTCAGTGTTCATACATCGGACTGTTTAAAGACTTATCCTTCAAATTCCAGCAAACAATTAAACACAAAAACATACTGCATGAGAGATGACTGTCAGGTGGGAATGTGAAAAGTGGTCTTTGTGTTCATGTCCATTTTACATTTCAGCTGAGCATTTTCAAGAGTGAGTAATCTATGAAAGGGACCTACATTTCTCCCATATCTCTGAATATAAAGGGTTAAAGCTGCATAAAATTACACAGGTTTGCATTATAATTTCTAGTAGATTTGACAGAAATGTACAGAATTGCATTTTAACATACGGTACTATAAGAGACCTTAAAATGTTCCTGCATACGGGTAGATCATTAAGTCAAAATGAGTTCACAGCTCAGTATGATACAGGAATCAATATAATAGTGTTTTTTTTAAATAATCTGAGATTTCCTTTGCTGAAGGTGCAGCAAAGGAACACATTTGTATCTAAAATCTACAGTTATTCACTTTTACCCACAACACAGAGATTGAGATATTTGGGAACCAAAGTGCAGCCATACTACAAAAAAAAACAAAATCTGTTTGGAGAAATTTTGCCAAATGACAAACACGCACACACACACACACACACACACAAAAACCGCACAACACACACACACACACACACACACACACACACACACACACACACACACACACACACACACACACACACACACACACACACACACACACACACACACACACACGGCGCCCACAGGGGCCACAACAGGGGGACTCTGCGGGGGGAGATGTGAGAATGGTGAACTTGAGTCAGCAGGTAGCATTTTGTTTTGTCGGAGGAAGCTTTAACACACAAACTCCTGTCTCATACGGATGATCTGTAGTAAGGCGGCCTGGACGTCCTCATCCATGTGGCCCTGTGAGAGAAACACAGTCAGGATGGGCTTCACTTAATCCATTTGTACAATATTTCTCACTGTATGTATGCAATTATTCACATAACACCACATAATTCTGTGCTTCCACTCCTACTGTGCACTTACACCTACATAATTTGGGCTGAGTAGCTTCCTCCCACAGGATTTCCAACCATTAGAGCTACCATTACATTTTCCCCAATTCATCTGAAATGGCTGCCTCAAATAATCAGCAGGCCTCCAGACAACATTTTAGCCTGTAAACATATGAACTCCCTCTTGCTTTTGGATGCCGAAAAAGTGCTAAAAGTTGTTAAAACTTGGTTGATCCTAATTTGACAAAAGTACATCCATAATTCAATAAACAGGCGTGATTACAGAAAAACATATTTCCTTTCAGTGATGATTCAGTTTCCTCTCAAAAATGTTGACTGCAAACTAACTAGAGCCATGCTGCGAGCTGTTGCGACAGACCGACAACCACCGTGTTTTGGAGCAGTTACGAGCTCCTGTTGGAAATTTCTCCCAATTATTTTCTGTTGTCATAAGGAAAATTGGAAATGTATGTGTAGCCAATAGGGCTGTAATGATAACCACATTACCACAACACTGCTGCCTACTTAGGGGCTGAGCTTACTGGTGGTAAACTGCATAAAACACAGGGGTACGTTGCTTTTCCACCGCAAGAAAAAATCCATACTGTCACAGCTCTAGTGGCCAATAACATTTTAAGGGAAGTTTAGTTATTAGAATCAGAAAGATACTGTAAGGATTGATGCAGTGCATTTTAAATACTAAATGATAGGAGTAATAATGTAACCAAAACTTATTTTCTGACTCAAGTTTATCAAATAATGGGTCTCTCTTTTATACAATCAGGTGTGTTTTAATAAATTCATTCAACTGTTTTCCCCAAAAAACTGTAAGGGGACTTTCATCAGTTCAATTCTTCTTCTCTGCCATTAAGTTTAATCACTGAATCTCTGACATATTGTTCTTCTTAAAATACTCCCACAAGGTAATAAAAAAAAATGTCTGAACAACGACAAAAAAAAGTTGTTCTAATTAGAACCATTCATGGGAATGAGACACTTTCTTGAAAGACTGTGCAGATTTTAGGGAAGAAAATCAGACACATTCAATAGAGATCAACTTACCTGTGCTGCACTGAGTAGATGAGTTCGATAAATTGAAACCACCTCCCTGTGTTGCCTCTCAGCATCCTGCTCGAGCAGAAGGGACGAAGAAAGACATGATGACAAACAGCGGTTAATGCTCCGGGACTGTAAATACTGAATTGCAGTTCCATATTTTTTTTTACAAATCTTCCATCTACACCTAAATGTTACTGATTGTTTTCTAAAGTTGGTTGTTATTAGCAGCGTTGGGCAGTAACTCATGACTAGTAATTATATTACTTTCCCCTGTAACTAGTAGTGTAACTAATTACTAATACATTTCAATAATAATATTACAATTACTCCCCCAAAAATAAGTTACATTACTCTTCTTGTCACCAAACTTTGTCTTTTGTCATTTAAAAACAAAAAAAATATTTTGTACATGTAATGCAACACAAGAACTTTCTAGCTCCTACAGTTGTTTTGTCTATTTAATCTAAAGCAGAATATGCATATGTTAACAAAATCTTCTGTAATTCATATTTAAATTTGTAATGCATGCCCACTCACAGCCAGCTGTTGCTGTAGGCTCTTGATCTGGGCTTGAAGTGTGTCAATGTGCTGCGTCTGTCTCTTATTGGGCGTATTGCTTGTGTATGCCAGCTGTGACAGACCATTCAGTGCCTGCTTCAATCGCTCAACATCTGTCAGCAACTCTGTGATCTGACACACACACAAAAGACACACACAAATATAAATGTTTATACATTGTTCACATGCACATACTGCCTCTATCAAAAGTTGTTTATATAATAAAACCATGACTTAGCTCTGAAAAATCTATAATTTACAATTAAATTCTAATGTCAGATTCTTACTACCTTCTTGTCTTTGGCTTCAGTCTGCTGAGCTGATGTCTGAATCCTCCTTTGAAGGTCACAGATGGTGCTGAGTGACTCATCATATCTCTCCTTCAGCTCTGTAATTTCTCTTTCAATACCACGTCCCTTCTCCTTTACAGCCTCCATCTCCGTCCTGGCCCGGCTCTCACCTTCCCTTGCTTGCGTTGACTCCTGATGGGCCTCTTCACATTTCTTTACTAAACTCAAAAGCTTGTTGTTCAGGTTGGCAGCCTCCTCCTCCAGCTGCTGCTTCTCCTTCTTCAGCTGGTTCATTTGGTCTTCCTTATAGCGAATTTCCTCGAGAGCCTGTGTGGCTTGAAGCAGCTCGGATTGCAGGGCAGATACGTCTTCAGCCCTCTGGGCGTTGTTCTCCTCTTCTTCTTGGAGAGCCATTCGGAGCTTAGCGACTTCAGCCTCCAGGGCTTCGTTGGAGTTGGCCTGTTGTTGCAGCAGAGACGTCTGATCCTTGTGGCGTTCCTGCAGTTCTTTCTGTAAGGCACAAACCCTCTGGGCCTCCTCCTGTTGAGTCTCTCTTGCTTTCTTGCAGTCGGCCTGTGCTTGCTGCATGGCATCATGGAGGGCTTGAAGCTCTGTGTCATACGTTGCTATCCGAATCAGCTCTGATTTCAGACGCTCCTGGAGATTCTGGATCTGACTATTGCAGAGGGCATTCTGGTCTTGAAGATCAGCTTTCTGAAGTGTTACCTCCTTGTGCTGCTGCTCTAAGCTGACCAACTTCTGAGTTAATTCCTCTAATTTACCCTTGAACTCTTCCTCGACATTCTTGTACTTTTCACTACTAACTAGAGCAGAGTCTAGTCTCTGTTGAACAGATTCAATCTCAACTTTTAGTTTTTCTTTCTCCTGTTTGTCGCCTTCTCCTGCAGATCTTTCTTTGTTATACTTCTCTTCCATTTCCAACAGCTTGACTGTCAACTCCTTCACCTTGGCAATGTAGGAGTGTTCTTTTTCCTCAGCCGCTGTCAGTGGGATAAACTTAGACTGAATTGCCTCCTGTATTGTATCAAGTTCTTTCTTCTGAGCCTCCAGTTCTTGGGTAAGCTTTACTGTTTCCTCCTGAGCAGACACATACATTGCTGACACTTCGTTTACTCTGTTCTCTGCCTCAACCACAGCAGCATTCAACTTGTCTGTGGTAGCTTTGTGGTCTTTTATGCTTATACAGTCTTTGTTTATCTCCAACAAGACTTTTTCCAACTTTTCTTTCAACTTATCATTTTCTTCTTTCACATTCTTAAATTCTTCCCCACTTTCTTTTTCCTTGGTCTCCAACTTCAACATCTTAGCTTTGACACTCTCTAAGGTGGAACTTAACTCCATCTTCACTTGCTCATGCTGCTGTCTGGGAACATACTCTCCCTCCAAGCTCTGTTTCAGAGTCTGGTTCTGTGTGGTCAGCTGCACATACTCTTTGTCTCGGTCTTCACCTCTCCTCTGCAAAAGTTCGAGTTTCTTCATCAGGTCGGCATTCTGAGACCTCAGAGCGTCCAGTTCACTCTCAGTAGAAGTTTGGAAACTGCTAATATTCTCCTGCAGCATAGCCCTCTCAGTTGAAAGCTGCTGGACTTGTGCCTCTGCTTTTCCATAACGCTCGCTTGCTTCCACCAGTTTGTCCTCCAGCTCCTCCAAAGCGCTTACCATGTGCCTCCGGGCATCCTCGTGATCCTTTATGGGTATAAAGTCGATCTCAATTCTGCTGTTGAACTCCTCCAGCTGCTCTCGTAGTATATCTCTTTCCTCCTCACTATCCTCGACCTCACGAATTAGAGCCTGGCTTTTAGCAGTCAAATCGACCAGTTTCCTTTTCAATGAAGCATTCTGCTCTTCGAGGGCAGCCCGTATCCTCTGCTGCTCCTCAGCTGCCATCACAGCTGATCCTCCCTGTGATGACGGACTGTCCAGCTTTCGATGGAGCTCAGCCACCTCCTCCAGCACACGATCATAGTCTTCCCTCAGCTCAGCAAGCTGACGTTCCTTCTCATCAACTGCATTGGTCAGCAGGTTTTTCATGTTGTCAAACTTCTCAGCTGGTACTGTGTTGCCATGTTTAGTCTGGGCCTCCTTCAACTGGGTTTCCATTTCTAAAAGGGTTTCTGCTAGTTCATCTCTTTCTGCAGTCAGAGCTCCCAGGTCTTGATTCAGCCTTTCTGCCTCAGCTGCCAGCTGGCTCTCGCTGTTCTTGTACTCCTCCAAGGCCTTCTCGCTCTGTTTGAGGCGATTGCGAACACGACCCACTTCGGCTGAAGCACCTTCATACTTGGCCTTGATATCCTGGAGCTGGGCCCGCAGTTCTTCTGTCGCCTGGCCTCCTAAGTGTTCTTTAACAGCAACTACATGGGCTTGCAGCTGTTTCACCTTACACTCAGAATCCAGCATCCTCTTCTGGACGTCGCCCAAGGCGTCCTCAAGCTCTTGAACCTGCTGGTCAGCCTGTTTCTGGATGGTGTCTCGGCTCTGAACAAGCTCTTGGCACTCTCGGTTTTTACGGTTCAGGGCAGATTGAAGCCGTGCCGTCTCTTCCTCCGCTGCCTGTTGTCTTCTCTTGACTGCTTCATGTTCATGTCGGAGTCCATCCAGCTCTTTGGAGAGGTCCCAGCCTACAGTGGGCTGACTCTTCTCTGCAGGTCTGGACAGTGTACGTGATATGGCACTATTTTGCAGCATCTGCAGAGAAAGAGGAAAAACAGTGATACAAAAACAAAGCCAGTGTGATTTTTATGGAAAAGGAACCACTTTATTTTAGATTACAGAAGAGTTGTTGACCATAATACATTCAAAGAGGACTGGGAAGTTCTTAAGGATAATTGAGTTATAAATCTCTTTTACTGAACGCAAGAAAGAAAACATATCAGGATCATCTGAATACTATATTAGCAGTTTAATGTGTAAGTCCAGCTGTAAGCTCACCACTGTTGACACAGACAGCTTAGATTCAAACTATTAACACTGTGTTTTAGACATTTACAAGTCATATGAAACTGTTCCACAGCTTAAAACTTACCTGATCAGAATCGAGGCTGTGAGCTTGTTTGACCAAAGCATTTTCTTTGCCTGCAAGACAACAGTGTACAAACATAACATTCACAATGTGCAGAAATAAATTGAAAAAAATAATATCAAATTCTTCTTTAAGATTCAAGCAATGGAAGAAAGCTAACCTTTGATAACAGACTGCCCAGAGTAGTCGCCCTGTGAATACATACAGATACACACACTCATTACAAATGGCTTAACTGAGACTTTAATGTTCACTAGATTTATTATGCATTCTCTTGCCAGTTTATTAGGTACAAATAGCTAAAACTATAATATAATAATACAACAGTCCTGAAATAAGTGTTCATTTGAACTTCATGGTTGTTTTGGAGGGTGTAGTCTGTGGTGCTGTTGAACTGTATTGCATTATACAGAGATGTGCTCTTGTTTCTTAGCCTAGCTTAATTGATTAAAAGGGACTGACAAAATTATAGAAACATCTGTCAGTATAATGCTATACATTACAGCACCACCAAGTACATCCTCCAAAATGATCATGCACTTTACTCTTCTCTAAATGATAGATGTACCAAATAAACTGGCAATGTATTGTATGTATACTAAGAACTTCACTTTAAATTTCAGATTTCAGACAAACAACAACAAAATGTAAATCCTAACCTAAAAAAAAAAAACCAAAACCTAAAAGTAAAAATCAGATATGCATAACGTCACTGACCAAAGTACTCCGGAGCTGGACCTTGACAGTCTCCAGGCCCCGAGCCCCGTCATCTCTTTCTTTGGCGCTGAGTAAAACCTTCAACTGCTCTTTCTGATTCCAAAGAAAGAAAAGCAAAGGCATGAGTTAGTCAAGCAAGAGTAACCAGACACTTTGAGAAGAATAAATGACTGATTGAATGATGGGCACTTATAAAAAAGAATACATACGCTTTAATTGGAGACTTACTTTTGAAAGAAATGCTCAGAAAATGCCTTCCAGCCATTTGTTAAGGACTTCTACATGTGTTTATTTGTTTTTATCTTAAAAACCTACACTAGATATCTACTTAATTATTCAGCTTTCTGCAGTATGTGTTGTTGTCTGTATTGTAGGTGCCTCAAGTTCAATAAAAGTTGTAACAGTATCAAAGAGGCTTAGTGAAGAAGTTGGGAGTAAAATAAGCTTCAATTTCATCCAAAGCAGGACTAGACAATCTGCTCTGTAGGTAGGTATATCTTTATGACATCTGTCCAACATACTAAATCATATGGACAAATATTGATCCACTGGAGTTGGTTGAAGTATCGGCAAAAACCAACGTGACACCTGCAGCCTTAATAAGTCAGTAGCTCTTTCACAGCTTTTTGTTTTTGTTGTTTCTTATTTGCACATCAAGACTAAGACAGAGGAACAAGCATTTAGATTTGTTTCAAAAGTTCAAAATGTGCGTTTGACCTTGATTTCCTCAATATTGAATTGAATTGAAATGTCTTTAATGTCCCCAAGGAGCAATTTGGTTCACAACAGGTAGCGAACACATACACATTCGCACAAAAACACATAAAAACATGAAATGATGAATAAATAAAAGCATAAATACACATGTACACAAACGCTTTCAGACTGCGCTACCTTCCCTTTCCCTTCCCTTCACTTCCACGTGTACTGTTCTGTGTTGATACAGCTCCACCAACAACCTCCCAACTCTGTCCCAGTTTCACTTTCATTTGCTCTTATTTTTAGGTTCCAGCAGTCACACAGTAACTTAAGACTGTCTATAAACTGCACTCATGACTGCTACCACCGTATAATAACTGCAAGTTGATTAAAATGTGCATCCAAAGAGATTCTTACAATCAAATTTAAGAAAGAACACAGTTGAAAAAAGCAATAACTCTTGTTTCATACCTCTTTTTGAGTGTCGTCGACAGTTATCTTTTCCTGCAAATAAAAAAAGATCATATATACAGTCAATTGACAATATGCCACTAAAACTCTTCTGATTGAATTTCTTTCTTCTGCTGTGAAGGCATATTGTTCTGGCAGCTAATATTGAAGAAGGTCTTATGCTCACTAAATGTAATATTTCAAAGAAAGGCATGAATGTTTTATAGAAACAATCAGTATTAAAGTCTGCTCTATCTCCTCTGAAAGAAACACCTGAGGTTACCAAATTATTGCACATTTCCTAAATCACATTTTACCTTTATTATCTTAGCAGAACTATGATATCAAACCAAGAGAGCATGACTCAGTTTTAATATTATATTTGTCACCTTAACCTTTAGAAGGACCCTTAGATCTGTCCACCAACAGAAAATCATGTGCACAGAAAGAAACAGCAGTATTGAAAGACAGGAATGCTTGGCAGGCGCCACAGTACTCTGCTGTTTTTTTTAGCTCAGTGTCTCTTGCTGTGTTGTTGTATTGTTCACCTGTGTGAGCTGTTGCTGTAGCAAGTTGACCTTATCTAACAGGGCTCTCTGCTCCTGTTGGTATTTCCTGAGACTTTCCTGTAGGGTCTCGTTCTGCCTCTCCAAGTCCTAAAAGACACATAAAAACCATAAAGCTCATGAATATAAATCAAATCCAATTACTGAATGCTAAAAAACGAATAATTCATAAGGACTTTAGGGATATAAGATGTCTTAATGATTAAATTATTCAAGCAAACCCTCGCTGAATGTCATTAAAGAAATAGGGAGGGTGAAGTTATACAGCACTTACATGGATGATCTGATCCCTTCTGTTAGCCTCAGCTGCCTCTGATCTCTCTACTGAATGCTGCAAATAACACAGTATCTTTTTTACAACCATGTTTTGAAGATATAACATTACCATAGGCTATGCAAGCTTATGGAACAACTTGCACTTATAATCACTAGATGGCAGTCATGTACATCTTAGTAGCTTACAGGTTCAGAGACATGAAAAGGCTGTGCTAAACAGCAACATGTCAAAGAAAATGATGTGGAACAGCTGGAAGAAAATGCAGAATCTTGAGGGTGTTTTTACAACACAGTCCTAGCATTTTAACGGTGGACAGGATGGATTCTGACTCATTAATGTCAACAATAGCTTTGGGGTGCGAGTAGGCTTGACCTTTGTTATCTTTTAACAAAGGGACTGTGGTGGAAAAAAAGGATTCTTAAATGTAAGTTCATTGCTATTCCCATCATGCTACATGTACACATGAAGGTCCTCTAAAATATGTAGAGTGGTGGTAACACTGCAGAATTACCTGCCGCTTCCACTGTTCAATCTTTGCTGCCTCTTTATCTGTAACAAAACAAAAAAAACAGCAAGGTCAGATTTCATTAATTCCTCCCACATGATATCAAGATTTGACAGTGTTCCTTGAAAAGATTTTCTAGGAAAGGAATGCACACAAGAAGGACAAAAGCAAATAAAAAAGACTATGGCTGAAGATCTTGTGAAATATTAAAACTGAGAAGAATTACTGACATAGAGGTTAGAAAATAAAAATCCATACAGAACGGGGCCACAATGGGTTCTGCAATGATAATAATTTTACATTCTACAGCAAATCTAAAGTGTAAAAATATGTTAACAAACCAATAGAAATTATAAGCAAAACAACATCAAGGGATTAACTTTGTGTGTGTAGTCAAAATGTGCTGAATTCACTGAATTAATCCTCAAAATACCAATACTGTCATGTAGCTCTAACAGAGCGAGCTAAAGTCTACACACGTTCTTCATCTAAAAGCACCCTTTTCACCTTGAAACATTGATCTGAAACAATGTTCAAGTCACTCAACTTTAGGCAGGTTTTAAAACTGTAAGAAAGATGTTTTATCACAGTACAGTTCAGTTATCCTTCCTTCTTCATTGCTATGATCAGTCGCTGTTGCTAACAAGGATCATGCTCATTATTCTCTTGTATTTATTCCAAAATAAACAGCTACAAGATTCTTTCATGCGTTTTGCCATCTGACCTCTGGTGGCTTTCTCAAGGTAACTTTTGACCATCGCAACAAGCTCCGGGCTCTTGCTGAGGCGAGCATAGTGAAATGCATCATGACCCAGGCCGTCAACTGCCTTTACGTCAGAGCCACTCTTCAGCAGCACCTCCACTGCGTCCTTACAGCCATACTCGCAGCCCAGAATCAGCGCTGTCCTAAGGAGGAGGGGGTCAACAAAGACAGTTTATGAGCAAAAACATGTCACAAAGTAAGCTCAGAAACGATTGTGCCATTGAATATGAGGCTCTCGAATCAAAACATGTTGCAAAAAGAACAATTCACTCACTGCTGCTGAATAATTCAGTGCTGTGGTAGCTGAGCTGTTTGTCCTGATTTTGTCACCACATCTAGTTGTTTTTTTATTATATTTTAAAAGACTGTTTAGTGTTGCAAATGCTGAAATGTAAGACAATCACAGGTGCTCCTTTAATTTTGCTGTATTTAAAATCTATGAAATCACGATACTACTGCAACATATAAAGTTAAGCCTTGAATTTTGAGAAACATTTTACCCCTAACACACACGTACGCATGTGCGTCACTGTGCCTTGTTCGCTAGGCAAGAAGACTGTACTAATGTAAAAACGAACAGTCTCATCTTATTACTGCTGGAGTTTTCAATGTCTCTCGTTTCAAAAATTCTTCTTTTTTCTTTCATTTTCTACATTTATGGCTATTACCTGCCAAACTCAGGTTTTGTAAAAGAAAAAAAAGGTTTTTATAGTCAGGCAAAGTGCAGAAGAATCAGAAATACCTATTTTTTCTTTTTATGTTCACTTCAAAGAAATTTGTGACTTGTTCAACTTTCCAATCTACGTCATCCGTCCAAAGCTGGCTTTTGTAAGCGACACAGATTCCACATTATTAAAATTTGCCAACCCTACCAAAGACATACTCCATGAGAGGCAATGTCTCTTACTTGTTTTGTTTGTCCCGGACGGTGATATCAGCCCCTCGCTCCAGCAGCAGCTGACAGATGCGTGGGTGACACATCTGGGTTGCCAGCACCAGAGGTGTCCTGCCATCCTAGAGGAAAACCAAACACATACAGATAAATAAACATAGATATATCCATCGACAAAATCACATAGTTATAACACAATACAGTTCTATATAGCACAATGCAAAGAATCAATCTGTCCCTCACCTCAATGCACAAAAGACCAGCTTAATCCCAAATATAGAGAGCACTCACTCAAGTGGACTGAATTCAGATTTATTGAATACCTTTTTGTGCTGCTCAAACTGACTGTACATGCTGTTAATGCTTGCCATTGACAAGGTAAAAGCCTTCGAGGATAAAGCAGAAAAAAAATGTTTTTCTACAATGATGAACACAAAATAATATCTCAGAAGAGACCATTACAACACACTGTGTGAAATGAAGTGAAATATCAGTTCTCACAAAATCACTGGCATTCACAGAAGCCCCACTGTCACAGAGAAGTTTCACACTGGAGGAGCAGCCTGCCATGACTGTGGAGAGAAAAAAGCAGAAAGAACTGCAATTATTTCATCCCATTTGCCATTGAAACACTGCAAAACACTTATGTCAACTCATTTCAAGCATTACTGTGGTCCTGAGGTTGATATGCTGAAAATGGTACGGTGAAAAACAAGCTCTCTTTACAAATCAGGACGAGAATTGTTTTTTATTGTTATATATAATGGAATTTCTGTTTAACTTGTGTAATATGGTAGACAGTAAAAGACGGCTTGTTTTGTATCTTAACAGAAAGGATAGAGTGGAGCAGAGTAAGGTTGTTACTTAAGTAAAATAGAATAAAGTAGCATCAGTACATCAGTGGGGTAGAATTGAGTCAGTCTTACCAGCATCATGTAGAGCCGTTCTTCCTTGTAGGTCCACGTTTCCAACTGGACAGTTGTGCTGTAAAATAACATTTTAAAAAAAGTTGGCACACAAGAATCAAGTCAAGGAAATGATTTCACTAGTGCTGGAATGTAAAATATGTCTGTAAAATAATCAACATTTATTATATACGTATGAAAGTTCACTCTAACAACAGTGAAGTTTAAATGTAAATTTTCTAATCACATACTTTATATCACAGATCTAAAGAGATCTGGGGCTGAACTGAGGTGTAAGATAAGAGTGAATCATGCAAAGCTACTCAAGTCGAGTATCTGACTAAGAATACAGAGCTGGAAACGAGCATAAGAGGTCCCCTTTAAGATGATTTTCACATTGTAGAGCATGATGGCACACATTCTTCACAGCACGGAAAAGGCTAAAAGGCACTAATTATATGTTTTGCAATCCAAGTGAAAAATGAAACTACTGGATATGATGCCGCTTCTAATAACCATTTAGTGGTTGATTTTCTGCATTACAGCCTATGTAGCCAACTTAATAAGTCAAATACAAACCATGGGGAGCAGAGGGATTATTTTACAAGGACGCAAAGGTTTGACAATAATTTCAAGGGAGAAAAGATTGCTTCAATATTGCAGCTGAGGGAGAAAAGGTATCAAGATCATTCATGTCCACTGGTTGGTAGCGGAACCAGAGAGGCAACAGCAGGCAGGTCATTTTAGGCAAAGTGGAGCTGTGCTGATATGCTTGTGACATCTCTACACAGTCAGTCAGCTGGTTGGACACCAGTGACTGTACCACTGTGGTGATGAGGGCCTGCTATGAAGCCTTGAGGACTCAATGCTAACAGGGGCCTGATGTTGCTGGGTAAGCTTGCCAGCGAGCTCTGGCCGGCCACTATAAAAACCCAACTCTCTCTAGCAACAAGGGCCAAAAATTAGCAGCATGCTCAAATGACAAAGCTAAGAGAGGGGGGTAGAGGGGCAACGGGAGCTGACGGTAGTGCACAGTGGGGGGGGGGATATCCTATACCTTGAGGGTTTGGGCTGACGAAGGGAGATAAAGGAGGTGGTGGGGGTGGTGGGTCTTGGCGTCCAGCTGCTATGTCTGGTGTGATGACGGCACCAAGAATGGACAGCAGGTTTGCAGGAGGGTAGGCTTGTCAACACCACTGACAACCCCCTGCCAACAGCCGTGACCTCCGTTAGATCACTGCCAAGCGCGAGATGTGGGCAGGGGGAAGAGCTATGACACTATGAGAGCACAATATTGCAGAGATAGCCCCCTCATTGTAAACACATAAATCCTCCAGTGGGTCATGGTGACTCAACAGGGCCTACTGTTGACCGACACAGAGTGGGCTGTGCTGCCAAAGCGGTTTGGCAATAATTATTTAAAGGAGCTGAGGGGGGAAACTGTTCTGACTGGCCAGTGACTGTAAAGCTGCTCTGTGCAACACACAACAATACCAACATAAAAAAACTAAAACTTACTAAAACAAACAAACAAACAAACACACACTTTCTCACAGGAGTAAATGTCAGTCAGGTACAAATAGTGTTAAAGAAACACAGCAACTGAACTTTACCTGCAAGAGCTTCTGCACACACAGAGAATGTCCATTTCTTGAGGAGAGGTGAAGAGCGTTTTTACCTGAAAGTGATAAATGTAGCCATGAAATCAAGTACATTCACAATCAAGGGTTTTTGCATGCATGTACTTTTAGATGTGCAATCATCAGTATAGAATATGCATGACTGCTTGTATTACTTCAGCATGACAGTTGCCAGGAAACAATATTATTCTGTGTCAAGCAGCCAGTATTAAGTCAGTGCTGATGATGACTAATTGAGATCAATCAGTGAATCACTTTGAGCTTTTCTCAGCAGGTAAAGCAGACGGTTTGTCAAGAGAGAACATTAGTTTTAATTATACAAGTCACAGCTTGACATACATGTTTTATCTGAATTTTAACCTGAGATTTCATCAGTTACAATGGATTAACAAGGAAAAATGATTAAATACTACTATAAATTATATGAGACAGACTGTATACTTTTCTTTTTATGTGTGAGGGAATTTATTCTCCCAATTTTGAAGGACAAATTCCTGTTACAGTCACTTCAGTGTGATATGTTTCTCAGTAGAGCTCTGACTAACCAGTTTCCAGCAACAAGGATTCAGACCAGATTCTTATTTTGAAACATTGAGTCAATTGAGTTTGGTGGGGCATTGCTGGAACATTAATATTTTAATTTATTGAAACTATACTGTATAAAAATCAATTTCTTTGCTGTCTGACTGGGACATGGAATAACTTGACTTCTATTGATACATTTAGATTTTTGTGACCAACATATAATTGGCCAGGTAGTCATTAAGTCATATATGTATATATGTATATGTACCTGATCTGAAATAGATGAGATTTAGGGTTAGGGGTTACTGAAAATTGAACACATTCAGGGGAAAATACAATAGACTATTTGTAATTTGTTCCTTCCATTTTTTCCTCGCTGCCTGAACCTTTTGTCAAGGTTGTTTTTGAAAGAAGGGATCTATCAGTGAATGTCTTGGTCATTATTCAGTCTAATTTTACATCCCAATTTAGTCACAATGAAGACAATTAACACATTTGCTGTGTGAGCTGCACACTGTATAGTGGGAAAAAGAAACAGATCACTAATAAGACAAATTTTCTGCCTAGCACATTCTCATCTTCTTTCTAGAAACTGGCAATGAATACCATAAACTGCTTAAATTGATAATGTGATATTGTAGAAATGACATACTGTATTTGAGACTAAGGTGGACAGTGTGTTTTTAATCATGACAAAAGCAATACACAAACTCTTTCCACAGACTTTTTAGAGTTTTTAATTTAGACATAGACCACCTACAGAGAAATAGTGCCTCTCCTGTTGTTTACTAAATAAACTGTCAAATGTTTGTAGTTGAATTGTATTATGTTATACTGCAAGGTAGTTTTTAGTATTAAGTCTATCCTCACCGATATATCAGGGGTGGACAAAATATTGGAAACACATCAAAGTATATAAATACAGCTCCAGGGTACTGCTTTCATCCTACTGAACTTACCAGTGGCATCAGTGGCAGTGATATCAACGCTGTGTCCCAGGATGAGATTGAGACAGTCTAGGTGTCCTCGCGTTGCAGCCAGATGAAACCTGAGAAGCAAGAAGAGAGATGGAGAAAAAATAAGACAGGAAAACAGACAGAGCATGAGTCGGAGGGCGATGGCAAAGAGTAGACAGCACGCTTTAGAGGAGGGCAAGTGAAGAAGTGATAGGTCATGAAGGGAAGGGAGGTGAGGGTGAAACTTAAGACAAGAGAGGGACTCCAAATAGACACCTGGCTCTAGGCAAGATCTGCATTCTTGAAGCAAATAACAAGAAGCCCCAGGCTCTGTAATGACTCCATGGTAACCAAGAGCTAAAAAATGATAGAAATGTTGCACAAACACGACTGTTTAGTCTGTAAAGCAGGGGTCGAAATTAACGTCTTGGTCCTGCAACTGTCCTGAATCTTTCTTTCAACTGTCCCAGACTTAACAACCATGTTCTCAGTGGATTATTTTCGTCATATATAATTAATACAGTTTAATAACTGTTTCAGTAACTCGCATCACTTCACTGACTTACTCTGGTCCACCAGGGAAGTTCTGCTCATTGTTTCCTGCACTTACATATGAAAAAAAAATTTTTAATTATCTGTCAGTTTTTTATTATTATTTATTATTATTTTAATCATTGGTTGAGTTACTGCTTCTTGTTTATTTCTAGCTGTTTGATCAAGAAATGCACCACTGCAAACTGTATTGCAAATGCAAACTTCTTTGAACATTATTATGTAGCCAAATAATCACAAACTCACTACAGGGACATCCTATATTTCAGTGTGTCTCAAACATTTTACACCATATACCACCTTAGAAAATATTAGATCCTATTCAGCTATGGACGCAGGTTTATTCCTAATAAGATTATTTATAGTTGCCTGCTGTTGAAACGGGAACAAAACTGGTTCAAGAACCAGAGCTACGTCATTTGGTGGAAAAGGGTCCACACTTCAACAGTTGCACTACAAAAACAGTTGCCCATTACAGTGTTTTTTTAGCCATTCATTTTTAACTCTACTTACTATCTTGCTATCATATTTTAGCTCGTAAGTAATCATGGACATCATCATGACATAATCAAGTATGCGCTACATGAATGATAGCGACTGTAGAAGGTTGATAATGAAACAAAATATTACGGTAAATGCAAAACTTATTTGAAATTCCATTTCAGTGATCTCATAGTTTAAGTATTTTCATTCAGTATTTGGTAGTATATTGACAGTGTTATGTGTTTTAAATGATTCCTCCGTGTACCACTAGACTCTCACTCAAATAAACTACATACATATAAGCTATAGGAACACCCTGATCCTGAGATCCAGAGAGAAAGAGTGAGAGAGGAAGGTCAACATGGCTCCACATGGCACAAGAGGAGAGGGAGAGACCTCTCTATGACTGAGTTTGTGTGTGTAAGTGAGCATGTGACGTAGCATAAGGCTTGTGTGGGTGCCACCTCACATTTTTGGAATGTGAACTACTAACAATTAAAATGTAATGATATATTTCTGTACTGTTCCAGAAGTGTCCCAGACACTGTATCTTTGTGTCCCAGGTGTTATTTTTGTTTACAGTACACCTTTAATTTCGAATGCTGCTGTGAGGCCACCACCACTTTCCCTATTCAAATTAAGGGAATATGTTGATGTTGATAAGAGTTCAAATTCCAGAATAATCTCACTATCACACAATGACAACATTCATGTCTTTGAGTGTTGTCTCTGTGTTCACTGTCTAGTTTGCATAATGTGAAAACCAAACAGCCTGCATGCTAACAAACAACACAAGTCATGTCACTTTTTAAAGTTCATTTTTGAACTTGGAAATGACAGTTGAAACTTTGAAATTCAACTCTTAAGCCAACATGGACATGGAATTTGAATATCTACATTTCCTTTTCAACTAGGCAACCTCCCACTAATCTGCTAATGAGGATTATGTGGTTCGCTTGAAAGCCCCAGAACAGCTACTAAATGAACCTTGAATTGTGATTGTTTTGTCACATTTTTATTCCTATTCAATAACCACAAAGTCTGTATATTCCCTTGTTACTTTCCTCCTCAACTGCACGAGTTTGCCGACATGTCTTTAATCGTCACTTCTGACTGGAAAAATTCCTGTTCCCCTTCTCTGATTTAACCCACAGCAGAACTGCCACCGCTAGCCATGAAGGTCTGCAAAGCACTTGTGTGTAAACCAATCTCAGTCTGTCACCCAACAAGCCACATGAACCTGTTTATACACTAACCCCGAGGTATCTGCCAAGGAGACAGCTAGGCTGTCACCTCAACACTGGCGCGGGTATTAAAAGCTGTGTTGATGGCCAGGAGATGCTGGTTCTCTGGGGAGCAGTGGAGGGTCCTGACCTCTCGGGGCAAACAGCAGACAGGAAGCAGACCAGAGCTATCCAAGTTAAGGGGATTTAAGTGATGTGACTAGCCAAGTTCATGAGTCACAGCCTTTTCCAGAGGGCAACCTGAAGGAATGCTTCTGAACAGAGTCAAAAATACTCAAACTGCAAACTTGAACTGGGGTAGTGGATTTCGTCATGACTTTTTGAAGAATAAGGAACGACAACAACAGCTTTTAGACTAAAAATCATACATCTGCATTATGACTATACGCAACAGAACAGTCAGATCTGAGGAGACTTAAATCCACTAAAACAGTCCCCTACAAAAAGTTAATAACTGTGGTCAGCACCGCTAAGACTGTTGACAGAATCCAACAAAGCAACAAAATGTCTGATACTGAACAAACACACAAAGAACGGACTCTGTGGAGATATATACAGCTGAGCCAGCTGGAGACCTCGCTAAAAGGGTTAGAGATGAATTTTGGGAGACTAATGGATCTTGATTTAAGAGAACACATTCAGCTATGTCATTTCATCTTCACACCTGCTCCTTGGGCAGCTTTCAGGTTGACAGCCTACAGGATATGGTTACTATTTTTAGAGAGTGGACAGGGAAGAGTAAACCAGAGGGGGTACATGCTGGTAGCTGAGCCATATATGATAATGTGTGTCTCTAAAGGCAGTCAAAGCTTCAAATTCTCCCTTGTTCAAGATAACCAATCTCGAGCAATATTCAAGTCTTTGTCGGAGGAAGCAGGGAGGGACCGTCTAGTGGTTGGGAAAAACAAGTTCAAGAATATGCATGTCGACAAAGACTTAAAAAGTATGTGTGCAGTGTTATAAATACAGTCCACATAATTAAACCCTAACTGTCCTATCAATTAAAAAACACAAACCGCATAATTCAGTCTGTTCTCAATCTGTCATAAGATCGGGCGCAACATCACGTAGATCCAACCGTGAAACTCACAGCTTGTTATTGCTATTCTTAAAAAGACACTTGAGCGCAAAATCCATTTCTGCTAATCCTGATAAACAATGGGCGTGCAGCAGTATCTTTAGTCAGTGCCAGTTTGATGCTGCAGGGCCAAGCGAGTGCTCATCTCGAGTGGTGTGCTCATGTGGACGGAACTTTCGCTGCTAAGCCCTCGTCAGCTCACTATCACAACTGCACAGACTGAACAGGTGTGATGGGTGGGCTCACCTCACCGGGATCCAGCTAATGCCATTCCAGAGATGTAAACTGTTTACTCAGCTGGAAGCCGTGATAGAACAGTTGGAGCTGAATTCATTAGCTGAACACAGTAAGGCTAATCCAGGGCACACCAAATCATATATGTGGGGTAACAGTTTGTAATTAGTTTCCCCACAGAGGTTCATGATTACAAGGGATCGCCATTTGACATTCCTTTGTTGGCTTTTGCACAGGCCAGAGAGCCATAGACATGTGTTGGTCTGTGTGTGGCCCTCTGAACTATAAGCAGACTTGCTGAGTTGCAATTGTGGTTCACTTTTGTTTTGGGTAGGCATAAGCACGACCTCTTTCCATAAATGTTCAGTTAAACTTTAAGGTGACGTGTTGATTTTATAGTTAACTATTTCTGGTCTGCCTGCCAGGCAGGGAAACACTAAGTGATGAGCGTGACTGTGTTTGTGTACAACCTCTACAGTCTGTCACTGCAAAATTGGTAGCCAAAGTTCTAGATTTAGATAAGACAAATTCTAGCACCTTATTATGAGACCAAGCATTTATCAGGTTGTGTGTATAATTGTGTTTATTTACTCGCATGCATGTATACAATCATTGGTCTTTGCAATGGTGCCACAAGAGAATTTCACACACGGCTGAAAATACTCGACACCTTTGCGTCTGGGATCTGGTGCTCCATAGTTATACGTTCTAACAAAGCCTTTGTCAAAATAAACCTGGAGCACAGGCCAGAGAACTGTGACTTTGTCATATATCTAGGATTAAACTGACGGCGCCTGGCCTCCCAAAATGTTGGTGTTGGAATCTGCTTACATTTAGGAAGAAAAACAAGCTTTTTTAAACAGCTCCATGCACGGGCCATTATGATCATTAATAGGACCAAAATAAGTGTCAGTCTGTATGAGATAGCTGAAGTGGTTGTGGTTTTGTGGCTGTGCGATGGTCAAGATGTAACATCAGAAAACTGTGTACAATACTTCAGTCAGGCTGACCTACTTTTTACCTACACCTTCCATTTCTTCCCATCTTATCTTTCTGCTACTTTTTCAGTTCCCACTGAAAAATCATCATATAAAACATGGTCCTTCAAGATGTCAACTGATCCTGATAATGGCCTGCAGCTGGGCCTAAATGTATTAGTTATGTTGCAAGCAGCACAGTGGATCTGATCTGAATTTGCAGGGAGTCATTTCCTGTGGGGACTACACAAACAACCTCTGGCCAATGTGGTCAAGCCTTCAGTGGCCACAGACATTCTTTATACTAACTCCCACACTGACCTCCAGTCAGATGGACACTAAAAGGGACATTTCTGGATTAAGAAAAATGGACACATAATAATATGCAACTGCAATGCCTTTTACATGCTGAGAAGCTCGATTAAGGTTGAAATTATGCATATTTTGGAGGGTGTGGGATTGTTGAAAAAAATGTTTAGGGTCAAGCAGAGAGAATTAGTGATTAGTGATGTTTCTCGAAAAACTATTTTTGAGTGAGACTGACTTAACTGTAAAGGAATAGCTATCTATAGATGCTTAATCTTTGAAACAGGGTCAGGAATTTGTGGTGGGGAGACTACTTTGGAATTTGTGATGCTCAGCATTTTTAGATTTGAATATATTCAGTATGTATGCAGTATGTAAGTACACAAAAGGTTTACCACTGTATATTCTGTATATGTTTAATATTCAATATACAGTTCATGTCTTATTCCTATCAGTTTGTAAAAGTGTATTGTAGAAGTTCACACCTCTTTGACTGCAAACGTTAACATATTGGACATGAATGTGTGTGTCCATGTATAGATATGTGTGTGTGTGTGTGTGTGTGTTTGTCTGTGTTTACTCACGCAGAGCGTCCTTCCACGTCAAGCTTGGTGGGTATGATGCCCTTCTTGCTAAGAACAGCAGCCACTTTGTCCACCTCGCCACGTTCCACCGCCTTCATCAGCCGATCATCATACTTGTTCCAGTCTGTGTTCTGACAATGATGATAGGGAATTATCAGACATGCAGTATGTTTGACAGCATTAAACCACATAGCTAAATCATTCTTTTACTAAATACATACTTAGTTCAACAGCAGAGAGTAATACCTATAATTCCAGTTTTGGAAACATATGCATATGAAACACAAAGTCCATTTTTGACACAAAAACAACAGACATGTTGTTGTGGCAATGTGATTCTTCATTTTGAAGTACAATAATAGACTTCAGTTCATGCACAATGTGCCAAGAATGTGCTGTACCACAATTTCATTAAATCCCACCCATGAGTGATGGCTGCAAAACATGGGAACAGTACTCTTAAGGCTACAAGGAAGCATACTTAAGTGGGATACTTAATACTAGAGGTCAAGATGAACAGAGAACACAAGTTATAACCACAACAGAGAATAAAACACAAGCATTACATACATCATTTTGATAACATGTACAATATACTGTCGTTATGAAGCAGTTAATGAGTCACCAAATTTATCCACCAACGAGAATTGTCCCAGTTGCCCTATTTGCCTCAGGGAGAATTCCTTCACGGCATTAACACTTTGTTAAAGCACAGCTTAAGATGAAAGCATAGGACCAGAAGAACCAGTAACCACAAAAATAGCTTTTGTTGACAAACTGAAATGACTGACAGGGAATACCTACAAAGTGCATGGAGGTGCATTTCAGCCACCGGCTCATCTTCGGTGAGTGGAGCTGGTCCTTGCACCGTGCTACTGAAAAGGTTGCCACTGTTACGGTTTACAAAAACAAAAATGGAGGAAAAAAAAGGATATAAAAAATCCCCTCAGTCTTTCAGTGCACTCAACCAGTGAGTGCAACAAAAATGGACGAGAAGACAAAAGGTGACAGTCTGTACTGCTGTGGAGGTCCTCCTATGGAAGGCTCAACCTCTGGAGTTTCCCCTCACTTGAGGCAAAGAAGTTCATTTGGCAGGATTTTCTAAGCATTCCTGTGTTGCTCATGGCCTCTGCCTGTAAGTTCATCACTGCACAGCAGTTTGGTTGATAGTTAAAGGGAGGAGAAGGAGGAGTAAGAGGAGGAAGGAAAGGAGGTGGAGAAGCAGTAGGACCAGCCCTGCCGGCCCTGGGACCTGCCCTGGCCGGCAACTGCAACTCCTCCTCTGGGGGAAAGTCAGCTCAGCCTGGCTACCTCTCACCTCCCACAAGTGTCTTTCCCTCTGTCCTCGCCTTTATCCTCAAACTGTGTCTTTAACTCAGTCTTCTTTTGTTTTGATAATCTCTCTTCTTCTCTGGACTGGTTTCTGTTTGTAAAAGCTGCAAGCTACTTGCTTATCAAGTAGTAACTAAAGAGCTTCTCTCTTTGCCTCTTCTGTCCTCTATGAGTGGTCTCCAGTGTCTTCACCCCACCAAATGGCAAGTCAGTCAGGCTGAGTGGGGTAAATATGTGAGCTCTCCCAGGTTTAAAATATCACCCCCTCCCTGGTAAACAGCAGCGGTGCAGACAGCCCTGCAGACTGGTTACCTCTTTATTTTTTGACCCTCCAACCTTTCTGTAGTGACTGATAGGAAGACAGGGGCTAAGAATACATTCTGGACATGCCTGCACCATGAGTAATGGCTTTAGTGTCTATCACCACTGCCAGCATGAAACAAGGCCAGCCAAAAAGACCTTGCTTACATTGCCACCCCCCACCATGCTCCCTGCTTGCTTCCATCTGAAAATATTAATGTCAGGGGGGGATTATGGTTTGCACATTTGAAGTGGTCTTGGCACTGACCCTTACAGGACACTACTGGGCCAAAAGCTGCTGTTAACCCATCCATCTAAAGAGGGTGGTGTGGCTCCAAAGCCCCCTGATCCTAGCTGCACGGTAGCAAGGTTAGATGTCAGCCTTTTTACAACCAGCTGTCTGAGACTGCAGCCACACATAAAACTACAAGTACACTGCCTCTTCACTTACACTAAAACCCACATGGTAAACACTGCAGAAGCACAACTTTCCCTTCAATTAGGTAAAACATCACAAGGAAAGAAAAAACAAGGTACAGGGACAGCAATCCGAGGACCTGTTTAATTTACACACTGCATCAGCTCCTCGTGGCCTCGTGTTACTGTCCCCTGCCAGACTGGCGTTAACAGAGCGGCAATGATATCCACAAACATGCAAAAAGACCTCCTCCACATGACATGTCATATGAAGAAGTAGGTGTCAACTTACGAAAGCTGCTCACCCTAGCATAGAGACAAAGGCGCCAAAATGGCAGCAAGCCACGCGGCATACTGTACATCGGTCACGTAAATATCTCACACGGGTGTGCTGGTGTGTGTGTGTGTGTGTGTGTGTGTGTGTGTGTGTGTGGGTGTATTTGTTTGGGAATCTGTTAATGTATTAGTTAATGATATGGCTGTTAGCAAGCAGTAGTCACTCACTACCAAGGAGAGCTGGTCAATAAGGACACAATGAAGTATCATTATGACTTGATGTCATAAAGCGGTTCATTCATTATCGGTGCCTTCATTAGATATTTGATCTCAACTATGCGAGGCTGATATGGTTGCCCGGACAAGTTTTCTGAATATGACGCCAATTCTTTTCACCCAGAGCAGTAAAATGATCTAAAGTTGAATCACGTAACTGTACTGCAGGAAAGATGATGACGATAACACATGACGATATCTAGTTTCATATCATGACGTCAATATGATGTCAATGTATCTTTCGGCTTTACTTTCATATGCTGGAATAGGACCCTGCCAACAATAATGAGAACAAATTCAAGCACATGAATGTGTTTATTTTAAACTAATGAGCACACATTCAAAGATATTTTAAAACAATTTGATATTTTAATTTATTCATCAAATATTTACATCTCTAATTTTTGTAGTTTTAGTTGTACATGTTTATTTAAACCAAAATATTCTACCTCTAAATGGCAGGTGATGCATTTATATTCTTTAACAAAATGTTGCTCTACATTTTTAATAATTTCAAAGTAAGATGCAAATATTTACATTAGATCCTTTCACTTGACTCTGGGAGGCTGTACCTTGGCACAGCGGTGCTTTGAGTTTAATGCTACCATGATCACAATGACTGTGTCTATGCGCTGATGTTTAGAAGGGAATGTCTAATGCTTGCAATAATCGACACCTTAGTTTAGTGTGATTAGCATGCATAACATTTTCTAATGAACAGTAAAAGCAAAGTACGCTCAAGCTTAAGTTGATGAGATTGTCACTTATTTTGCAAGATGATGTTGATGATTTTTAGGGATTTTATTATTATTACAATCCATTAAGTGTAACATGAATGTGTGTACCAAATTTCATGACAATCCATACAATATTTGTTCGGATATTTCATAACCTCCTCTGAGCATCATGAATATCTGATCCAAGGTTTGATATTTCAGACCGCGCTGCTTCTGTGGCCCAAAAAGGAGAGGACCCGCTTAATGCAGAGCAGTAAAAATAATATTTGTGCACAAAGAGGCCAAAAACAACATAAACTGGCTTGGACTAGCAGCATGATGTTGATGCTTAAGTGACATTCGACCCTTGTTGCATGGAACAGAAACAAACACATTACGTAAACTTTCTATTTAAACACAGTGACAAAACATCACCTGACTCTGTGTAAGCCAGGTTAGACCTCTACCTGTCCACACAGATTATTCTGGGTGTTATAGAGACTTTGTTGTCTTCAGTACAAGGTTTTCCATCACTGTCTACAGACTGTAACTCTTTCCAACACCTCAGTTTCCTGCCTCTCTCAGCCCCTGGCCAGACTAATGGGTCTCTGATGTCCTCACAGATGAAATCACCAGCAGAAAATATCTAACTGGTCATCTGATGACAGATTGAAGCCAAGACCAAAACATAAAGCTATACGCCAATATGTTAAGTGATAGTAGTGATATATCCAATGCCAAACTGACATGGTTTCATAAGATTATGACCACGGACCGTGATCCTGATCAGACGAGACATCCGTGAAGAGACGCTACGTCATGAAATGTAAACGTTTGACATTTTATGGACGAAGTGGATACGTATTTGGAAGTGCAGACCTTTTTCTTTATTACCTTAAATTAGGGATGGGTTGACAAAAGGGATGAAAAGGACACTTCACACCCAAGTTGCCTAAAGGACAGATTCAGATCTTTCAGGATCAGGTTCAAAAGTTAACACAATACTTAATACATAGAGGTATTGGTTGCTGAACTCTGCTTGCAGATGTCCATGTTGAACAGATCCAATGTTTACCATGTCTACCACTTTAGTTTAGGCTGATGGGAATGCCGTTAGTTTTCAAGTGTATTTGTTGATAAAGCAAAGCGCTATACAAATAAAAATAATTAACCTGATTGTAGCCCTAGTTTATCCTGAGTGCAGCATGAATGTCTGCACCATATTTAAAGAGAATCAGTACAATAGTAGTTGAGCTGCTAGCATGGCTAATTGAAACGACAATGTTTATGCAAAGATTATGACATTTAAACTACTTCTCAACGGGCACAGTGTTATTATAGGCAGAGAATGGTTGGAACAAAGAAAATATTTGCTTTGTTCAAATACACAAAAGTAGGATAATAGCCATGCAGGGGCAACATTTAATTGATTAGTGGCTAAAATAACCATCATGAAATGTTTTCTTCAATGCTCCTATAATAATCTTAAGTATTAATATTGTGACTTCCACAGACAGTCTTTACAACAGAATTTTATTGCATAATATCCTCTTCGCACAGCTTCTTGCGAGGATGACACTTTGTCTGATAAACGATTTATTTAATTTGATAATTGGTATGAGGTAAACATACCAATACCACACAAAACAATTAACTGACACCAGTTCAAACACACTACAGGTGAAAATCACTTTTTAATACTAAGCACAAACTCTTTACTTCTAGTTTGCGAACAGGCCCAAACACAGACACCAATCATCTGTTTGTATGTTTTCATCATTTATCCTCAGAGATACCTGTTTGTAACATTAAAATAGCTGCAAGCTGTGTGAATAGCTTAGTGACAAGTTGATTTATTGGTGCAATATACCCTGGCATGCTACACTGCCAAAACTCTGCATCAGCGTTAATGAGAACCTTAAGAGCAAGCTCAAGTACCAGAAACTGTGCCACAGAAATCTCCAGAAATTGTGTGAGTCACAGCTGTTACCAATAAAGGGAATTAAATAAATTTACAATGCAGAAAATACACTGCTGGTCAGAGAGGTTACCCGTTAGGAAATATGTGAACAGGAAAGAAAGATGGGGGTATCGTACGAGGGATTGCCTAATAAAACACGTTTTATTTTCAGTCTTTCCTAAAATAACCACTGAACAAAGGATGTCAGCTATTATTAATTCAGCAAGAAACAGTTTTTAAAGGACATGTTTCTGTTGTTGATAAAAACTCCCTACTGCCGCCTTCTCACAATCAGTTGGGTTTTACACCCCCAACCCCCCTAATGTGTGACCACAGACCTGTGCAACTGTCTGGGCATGTAGAGTGTAATTAAATCGCCTCAGGGGCAGAGACAGAAAGGGTTTAGGAGAGAAAGAGAGATAACGTGTAACATGAGTTGTTTAAATGTGTAAAAGAACAAGTGGAGAGGTGAGAAAGTGACAAGATACAACCTGCTTGCATTCAATCTTAAACTGATTCTTCCGAGCAGAGTCCCTCGTGGACCGGGCCGAACCCCCGCTGATGGTTCAGACCAGGTGTTCAAAAGAGAGAGGCACAAGAAGCACTCGCTGCGTATCTGGGTAACTGATAAACACAGGACCACTCTTGCTGGGTAGAGTGTGGACTGGATGTAGGACAGCCAGACCGACACGCCCTCTGGTGGCGGAGCAGAAACATGACAGGTCCACTTCACCAAAGTCTATTTGTATCCTGGGACGCAGGCGAAAAGGTGACCAATGGTCCCTCTTCACTCACAGGACAATCCCTCGTCTCTTTGCACTGTCAGTACTTACAGAATACAGCAGTCAAGTGACTTTATCGTACAAATGATTTTGAAAGCTCAGCACAAATTTATGAGCATTAATTAAAAATCAGGTTTCAGGTTGGTCCCTGAGCCAAACCACGTGCCATCTTCTCTGCAGCTTTGTTGTATCCTGTCAGCTGCAATTATTGTGTAAATACTTGCAGGAATCGCATTCTCATCCTCGGGGAGACGTCACTGCTCTCTGACACTGCAGTGGGAGATGTAGAAAAATCTACAGAAAGCCACTGCTGAAAGTATAAAAGGCTTAGAGGAGAATAATAGTGACAGGGCGGGTGCTTTGATACAATATTTAATCAGAATATTGGATGTTAGGCGACAGCATCTGTGGAAGAAAAAACCCACTAGCAATGGGGCTTTCATGACCTCACAGTTATTGAATATTAACTTAACACAAATCCATCATGTGATTAATGACAGATATCTATAAAAAAACATTAAAGCCTGGGAAACTGTTAATGTCATAATGTTAATTATAAATCTGCCGTCAAAAACTGGTATTTGTATTTATTTGTGGTCGACCGATATGGGTTTTTTCAACTGCAGATGCTAATGCCAATATTTATTAAGTAGTGCTGCCGATGACCAACATATAATGCTGATATCAAAACAAAGAAAATTTCAACCAAATTTCCCCAAAACTTATAGGTGGGAGCGCTAACATCGTTACATACAGCGGGTAAAATAAGTATTGAACACGTCACCATTTTTCTCAGTAAATATATTTCTAAAGGTGCTATTGACATGCAATTTTCACCAGATGTTGGGACCATGCAATCCACACATGCAAAGAAATCAAACCATAGATGTCCATAAATTAAGTTATGTGTAATAATGTGAAATGACACAGGGAAAATTGAACACATGACGAAAGGGAGGTGCAAAAAGGCATGGAAAGCCAAGACACCAGCTGAAATCTATCAGTAATTAGAAAGCAATCTGCCACTTGTCAGTGCAAATTAATATCAGCTGGTTCAGTCCAAACTGATGGCCTATAAAAAGGTGTCTCATCACCAAGGTGTCACACAAGAAACATCTCATGATGGGTAAAACCAAAGAGCTCTTTCAAGACCTTCGCAACCTTATTGTTGCAAAACATACTGATGGCATTGATTACAGAAGGATTTCTAAACTTCTGAATGTTCCAGTGGGCCTGTATGCACACTCACCGCGCAAGACTCCATTGCTGAAGAAAAAGCATGTTGAAGCGGGTTTA